ACCGCCTCTCTCCTATCGCGACAGCCCCTCATCAAACCCCCTCCTCTCGGTCCTTGCCCCCTTTATTCTACCTCTGTCCTGCTCTCTCGCCCGCCCAGAGCCCCCAGTCCGCGGGCAACGCCCTCCTTACCATGAAAAGCCGGAGGACGCCGGAGTCTCCAAACCCGGACTAAGAAAGACAGGAAACACCCAGCTCGCGTGAGCCTAGGGCGGAGGCGGGGCCGGGGCGAAGACTTCCGCACTCGGGCACGCCACTTCCGCCCCGCAGAGGACACCTTCCTAAAGGGTCCGTTGTACTCCTAGATATCGGCCCCTTTCCTTCCTAGTTCCCTGGCTGGAGTGGGTTGCATCTCTTCTCGGCTGGGTCAGGCATTTATCCCGCTCCTAATGATCCGCTTTTTCGGCTTCCATAGAGGAGGACAAGGTGCAGGGACGTTTTCCTTTCCGGACGAAGAAGCTCTTTGGAACTGTCGTTTCCGGAACTGGATAGTTGTTTCCCGGCGGAGCTCTCAGAGTGAACATCCCGGGGCAAGATGGCGGTCGGGCCTCGGCTGCTGCCCCGGGTCAGGCAGAAGTCGGGGGTCTTGGGCTGAGGCGGTGGTAAACTGCGGCCCCGACCCCGAGCGCGGGGGCCTCGAGTGGATAAAGGTCTACGGCCTGCGGGTAGCGAGTGGCAACAGGGTTGTGGGTTCTCTGGGTAGTGGGGCCGGGGACTTGGAGGGAGGTGCCCCTGGGGCTGGGTCCCTATTTCTCCTGGTCGGAGGGGCAGGTGCTGGGGGCTGGCTTTCGAGTTCCGGTGGGGGGTGGGGAGGGGTTCTCCGTGACCTTTTTATCTCTGGGGGCCAATGAGATAAAAAGGGGCAATAGGTCTTTATAAGCGGACTAGCGCTGGACGAAAAAGATTTGTTATTGTGGTTGTTGATGCCGGGGAGAGACGCCGGGCCGCAGGAGTCACCCAAACCGGAGTTCGAACCCTACTCACTGTAACCTTGGGTGAATTCTTTCTCCTCTCTGAGCCCAGTTTCCAACTCTGTAAAATGGGGTAATTAGCTCGTGTCACAAAGGGTGTGTAATTCAAGTTTTAGAACCATGTCTGACATTCAGCTCTCAATGGAAGCAGCTGGTGTTAATGATACCAGTAAAGGAAAGCTTGGTAGTAATTTGACTTTTAACTTAGCCCCACGGGCAGCCTTGCTTTCTCGATTTTTCTTTGCCTTCCGTGAATAGTGGCGTCCCTGGGTTTTCTCTGTTGCACTTAAATAATTGCTTTGGGCTTAGAAGTGGGTTCAAATTCAGGAGCCTAGTGACCTCTGACAAGTCATGTCCCTTTCTACATTTCATTTTCTGTGTGTGAAGGTGGGATTTGATAGCATGCACCTACATAGGCTGTAGCCTTCAAAACCTGTTGCTTATTCTTAAGAAAGACTGTTGAGACCTGATAGAGCTGAAAAGACAGAGGTGGTTAAATATCTGTACAGTGTCTGATCCATGGTCCACACTTAACAAATGGTCATTCAACCAGGTCATTCAACCTGGCGGCCCAGCTATTCCCACCATAAGCGGAAAATTGCCTTGGGCTCAGACAGCAGTTATTTATGGTGCTTCACCTTTGGACTACACTCTCTAGACTGTCAGGCTCTTTCATAGTGCTCCATGAAGTTGGCCTTTTGCTTTTCAGACCATCTTGGTTATCACCAATCTCTTGTTTCCTAATCTTTCCACCTATAACATTTTTGTTTCCCTAACTGGATTGTAAGCTTCTTAGACAGCTTTAATTCAGCAACTTCTTTGGGCTTTCAACTGTGAGGACTGGGGAGATACGTCTACCATTTAGATCCAGCATAAACTAGAGAGGACACAGATGTTTTTTTTAAACCAGAGGCACTGTCTTTATTCCTTTTTCTCAGTGAGGAAGATATATGATGCCTACCTATAAAACTAATCCTAAATCTGGATTTTTTTTCTTCTGCTTCTGCCAGAAAACACAAGCTCCTCTGAAGTGAGATGTCCTCAGCTGTGAGCCCTGTGCAAAATCACTAATGACTGATTACCTGACATTTCTGCGTCACTGGCAGGTCCTCAGGTGAGTGTTCCAGACTTCCACTTCTGGGGCAGAGTGAATGGTTTGGAAGACTGGTACCTTTTTATTGCCTGTCTTCTCACGCTCCCTCCCATCATCAGGTAAAAGTTTCAAGATGGCCTTACAGGTACTTAGTCACATTTTGTGTGCAACCTCCTGTTTTACTATTGGGAAGATGCTCTCTCTTCTGCTTCCTCCCCCGCCCCCCACACTGACACACCATGAGGGACTGTCTCCATGTTCGTTTGTCTTGAGAATTACTGATGAGAGACCCACGTGTAGGAAAAGCTTTACTGTTTAACAGATGTGAATCAATGTCGAACAGGGGCCACAGAGGTCCCCTGATGTGTTGACATTGGAGGAGCCTCTCGTGACCTTCTTATCCTTGATGTTTTCACGTGGACACTGCTTTGAGTGAGGTAACCTGGTAAAGAGATGGTTTACAAGATGTCTAGATTTCTGAGTATTTCATTTCAGTGCCCATGTCAGCTGGTCTGATTATATATTTTGGATAGAATGACAAAGTTTTCAAGCATCTAAAGACGTCATCTCAGTGTGGGAGGCTCCGTGGACCAGTGCTATGTGCTCTAGGCTGATAGCCAAAGCCATCCCTTTGGGAAAAGGCAGTTACTGATGATTTAAATTAAAATGTAATGGCTGGGGCTTCCCTGGTGGCGCAGTGGTTAAGAATCCGCCTGCCAATGCAGGGGACACGGGTTTGATCCCTGGTCCGGGAAGATCCCACATGCTGCGGAGCAACTAAGCCTGTGTGCCACAGCTACTAAGCCTGTGCTCTAGAGCCCGCAAGCCAGCCCGCGAGCCACAACTACTGAAGCCTGCGTGCCTAGAGCCTGTGCTCCACAACAAGAGAAGCCACCGCAATGAGAAGACCACACACTGCAACGAAGAGCAGCCCCTGCTCGCTGCAACTAGAGAAAGCCCGCGCGCCGAAGTGAAGACCCAGTGCAGCCAAAAATAAATAAATTAAAAAAAAAAATGTAATGGCTAATTTAGAGCCTCTGTCCAAAAATACCAGTCTGTGGATGGGGGCCTTTTTAACTCTAACATCTTCCTCAGCCCTTGGCAGGATGGGAACGATGAGGACAACAGAATAAGTTATGCTTAAAACCAAACATGCTCGATTTAATGGATTGTCTGGCATTCTGGAATCATGTACCTTTGGCTGTTTTAGTGTTTAAATGGCCCTTTAAAAAAAAAATGAAAGGCTTCATTTGTGCTGGGCACAAAGTAGGGTATCAGTAAATATTTGTTGAGTGAATGGATGAATAAAATAATGGTGACAGTAAATCATTATGTTTAATGTTTTTCCCTCAAGTCTTTACTTGGCAAAATAAAAGTTGACTGCTCAGTGAAATATCCAGGGACCTTTGACTTAGAGGATGCCTGGTTTGAGTTAGAGCTTTGTGGTTGGAATTGATTCATGCTTTGTTTATTCATTAAGCCATTGCAGACCCTATGCCAGTCACTGTTCTTTCTCTTAAAAAAATGTGATAACTTAATACAGGAAAAAGCATCGTTGGTCTGGGGAGTTGCATGAAAGGAGCCGAAAGGAAGTTGGGACTTGAGCGGGGACAGCTATCAGCCCTTTGGGAGGGAGCTGGGGGGTCCCGAGTAGCTTTCTGCTGCTGCCCAAGTCCCTTCCTGCCCTTTGCTCCTGAGCCCCTCTCCGTGAGTGTTTTTAGTATAATGACCTACATCAGACACTTGCCATTTTCTTTGCAGGGTTTGTGCAAGTTTGCAAACATGTTCACTGTTTCTCAGACCTCGAGAGCTTGGTTCATTGATAGAGCCCGTCAGGCTCGAGAGGAAAGGCTGGTGCAGAAGGAGCGGGAGAGGGCAGCTGTGGAGATTCAGGCCCACGTACGGAGTTTTCTCTGTCGGCGTCGACTGCAAAGGGAAATCAGGTGGGTGTCAGCACGTTTTCTTTTGTTTCCAATTCATAGCAAAAAAAAACCGATTGCTCTTCTCTTAACAGTTCTTAAACAGCCTTCCAGCTGCTATGAGCTCCTAATTTAAAACGTCTTTTTTTGCCCTTCCCTCCCTAGGAGAGAGATTGATGAGTTTTTTAAAGCAGATGACTCTGGGTCCAGTAAAAGAAGTGCACTTTGTATTTTTAAGACTGCCAGGAAACTGCTGTTCTTGTTCAGAATTAAAGAAGATGATGAGGTAAAATAATAATAGCAAACCCACATCGTGCTTATGTGTCAGATCTTTTTGTAAGTATTTGATAGATATTAACTCATTTAGTCCTGACAGCAACTCTATGAGACAGGTTCTGTTACCCCCACATCCTGCCCCTTTTGTTTTCTTGGAACCTGTTTCGTAGGGATTATGCCCAGTGCTGGGAATCATCACGATTGTTTTCACATTGACTCTTACAGGCACTTGTCCTCAGATGCGTAGGTTAGCAGATTTATGAGACACAACACAGTACAAGTCATAATAAATGGTAACTGACAGGCGGTGGTGAGGACATCGGAGGAGGAGGTGGGCTGTGTGGTGTGCCATCAAAGGGGTGGCCGCTCCTCTGCTCCAGCCACTGGGCGACTGATACTCTGATTTTTTTAAAGACACTCCAGAGCTCTTTGACACTCAGTTTTCTAATTTGTAAAAATTGGCCGCTAATTTGAAATTTCTCTTAAAATCCTGCAAACCAAACAAAACAGGCTAGTTTTTACCTTTGGAGTTAGAAAAATCAGCCTAGAAAGTAAAATTCCATGGGAGCAGCTAGTCATCTGTAACAGTACTAATGGAGACCCTTGAGGAGGGCCTCTGTGTTCCTGGCGGTTAGGCATCTATTACTGCTAAGCTTCACATTGTGCCAGACCCTCTTCCGGGTACGGGGCCCCAGAAGGAAACAAAGTGGACAAGGTCTCTACCCTTGAGGAGCCTGTAGCCCAGCAGGAGAGAGAGAGGAGGACGCTGGCAGTAAATACAGTCACTCAGATGAGAACACGCAGGCGCAGGGAGGTGACGCCTGTTTACAGAGGAGGAATCCGCAGCTCAGTCTGGTAGAGCAGCAGCCAGGGCCACACCCCTTTTAAGGGTGGATCCAGGGTTGGTATAGCCAGCGTGTACCACTTTTCTTGCTTTTGCATTTCAAGATGAAAGTGATATGACAGTTTGTGAGGCAAAAGTCAGCATCCATGGTGCTTACAAAATGGCAAATGGCTGAGCACAGTTTAGGAGACAGCTGCTAGTCTGCAGGAATCCAGGCCCAGTTTGCCAGGTTGATCTTGTTTTTCAAAAAGAGCCCCAGTCTAAAACACATGTAGGGCTCATCCTGCCTGCGGGTCACCAGTTTGAGAGCCTTTCCTTAGGCTTTCTGATCCTCGGTCTCCACATCTACAAGTCGGAATTAAATAGGATCCCGATGTGAGTCATCTGGCGTCAGGCCGGCACATCCATGCCAGGGGTCCACAGAACATTTGCTGCTTTCTGATTTCTCCATTCATTGTGAGAATTTATAACCGCCATTCTGCCTCTCTGCAGAGATTTGAGAATTTGTGTCGCTGCATCTTGAGCAGCATGGATGTTGAGAATGTACCCAAGGTAAGTGGGGCGGAAGCCAGAAAGTCTCCCACGACCACTCATGCTGGCCTGTTTGCCTCTGAAAATTCCTGTTGAATGTTCTGACTGTTGTGTATGACTCTGCATGTTCACACCCATGTGTAAATAAGTAATGGATCGAAAACATTAACAAAGTGCAGGTGAATTCCTTAGTCTTTGCATTATCCAAGAAGCTGTGCTCTGCTCTTGCCTCATACTCAGGATGGTAAATCCACTTACCAGGCTATTTTTACCTTTGGGTTTAGTGTTAAAATAAGTCCTCCTTGCTGCTTATTTTTATGTTCATCCCCCTGCCTTATCTGGCTCTGGACCTAGCTAATTGGTCCCATTCCAGTAGCTGGAATGTGTGTCATTTGATCCCTGTAACTGCCCATTACATTTCTCTTTTTCCTGTTTGTAGATATGGTACGTGTCCCTGGCTCTTTCCAGGGATCTCACCCTCCTATGGATTAAACAGATCAAAGACATTATGTGGTATTGCTGTGAGTTTCTTGAGCAGCTCAAGGTAAAAAATAAAAACAAGACTGTAAGTCTATCCCTCCCACTTGAGGCCTGTAGAATGTATTTTCAGAGTCCTCGTGATTCCCTCATAGGTTATACCTTTGTGATGTATCAGGTGGAGTCTCGTAAAGAATTACTGGAGCCCCTGTTCCCAGAGAGAGTGAGTTAGATGCTGTTATCAACTTGAGGGCTTCTTTCATGCACGGTATTTTGAACATTGACCTGCACCTACCACAGTCTTGATGCCAGGGAATCTTGTCTTCCTTTCAGTGCTTTTGATATAGTGGATACTTTGTAGCTGGCATTATTATACTAGTCAGGCCCCTTGTTACAGTGCAGAAACCCAACATGAGTGCAGCTGGTAATACATACTAGAGCCAGGGGGCTTCTGGATTTTCCCTCTCTTTCCTTCTTTCATGTGTGCTCCCTTTTGGAATTACCTTGTCCTCTCCCACTCTAATCATGGCAGCTGGCAGTTCTAGCCTCACATCCTGACTATGTCTTGACCAAAGACAAAAGGGAGGCTTCCCCCATCGATTCAGAAATCTGGGAGGACTCATAAAGGTCCATTGGGATCCTGGTCTCAACCCTGAACTGGTCACAGTGGCAAGATGGGTGGGGTACTGCCACCAGCCCTGCCTGGTCCAGTGCCCACCCTGTGTTATGGGAAGGTGGGCAGGGGTGTGAGTGTGTACAAACAGCAGCCATTTCCACTTTGCATGTAGGGAGGGAGAAGTTTCAGGGGCAGAGGCTTGGCAAGGACTTTGGTAGTAACTGAGCAATGGAGCAGATGTCCCCAGAGCACCCAGTGATCCATTCCCAGACATCTCTCTCAAGGCACTTGTGAATGGCTCTCTTGGCCTTGACCCAGCATCAAGCATGAATTATAGTCATCATTATAGTAATAGCCAATAGTATCAATACATAGTGCTTTCTGTGTGCGAGGCACTCTTCTTAGTGCTTTATATTCATGAATCCATTTATTTCTCACAACAACTAAACGAAGGAAGCAGTGTTATACTGCCCTAGTCAACAGAGGAGGAAGCTGAAATACAGAGAGGTTGAGAAACTTGCCCAAGATCACACAGCTAGTAAGTGGTAAAGCCAAAAGTCTGAGCCCAGCGTCCTTGTTATGTTCAATTGCATTTATACTCTGTTGCTCCAGTGTACATGCATACATATGTTAAATACTAAATGCATACATGTAGCAGGCCAGCCCTGGTCATCTTGTTTTCTAAGAATTCTCAATTCTCCATTCCCAAGAGTATTTCAATTCTGTGGTCAAGCACTAGTGTGCTGAAATCCCTGTTGTTTAACTCTTATAGTGGTCATTCCTCAAGAGAAAAAGAATAAAGACTTAGAATCCTGACTCATTGGTTTGCATTCAGAAAAGTTGTAAAACGGTTGCTCTACTGTCTTGGACTGGAGGGCGTGTGTCTTAATCTGACTCTCTTTATTGTTTTTAGCCTGAAATTTTACAAGACTCCAAGCTCATCACACTGTACCTCACGATGCTTGTCACCTTTACAGACACTTCAACATGGAAAATTCTCCGGGGAAAAGGTCTGTGGGACTTGCTTCAAAATCTTTCCTAAGTAGCGTTTCCATGGAGAGTTCGGGGACCTTTTCAATAAGTATTTTTGCCGCCTCAAGCCTCAGGGAAGGCCCTAGAACCACACACGTGGAGACGTTGTACTGTGGTATCTAGGATAAGTTCAGTATCGTGTACTCAACTCTCTCCCTTGGAATTTACGTTGGAAGGCACAATCCCTCTGAGCTCATTTGTTACAACTCCCACAGCACCTCAGCCTTCAGATTGAGAGTATTCACTTAAGCCTCCTCATTTCATTTGGAGAATATTCGGCAGCAAATAATTCTATTTTGCCCATAAAATTGCATGGTAAAGCTGCCTTCTTCCTTGAACACTGAACTCGGCCTTACATGTTTCATACATTCACCCAGTAGCCTGCTGTGTGCCAGACGCTCTGCAGGCACTGGAGATAGGGGAGAGGTCACTGCCCTCCAGGGGCTTTAGGTGCTGAACTCTGTGTGCCCGCCCTTCCTCCCAGCACCTGAGTCTGGCAGGGTGGGGAGGAGACAGACACTAAAGAGAGGTTGTATATATATGAATATCTGAGTAGTATACGTGGGTTTGTAGGTCACAACAGTGTGACAAGGGGCGCTTGGAAGGAAGAGCCCAGGAGAAATGAGAGTGCAGTGGGGAGGGAGGCCTTGCCTTGTGTGGGGCTTGGCCTTTCCCGAAGCAGTGACGTCTGAGCTGAGAGCTGCAGTGGGAGGTGGAGTTTGCAGAGCACAGAGGTGGGGCAGGACTCTGAAGCAGAGGAAACTGTGTGCTGAGGCTCCAGGCCGGGAAGGAGGGTTCATTTAAGTCATGATCCTGGACTCGGCGGTGGGCGGGGGCG